AGTTTTTCCCGGCCTCTGGCGCTGAGTCGGGTTCCGCAGAGGCTGGGCTTGGAGCAGAGGAGGGGCTGGGTGGAAGCCTCTCGCCGCCCTTCGCCTGTCGAGGCAGCAAGACCCTTCCAAGGCTTTCCAGGGTGAGAACGTAGCTCTGGCCAGTTCTTCCTCCGGTGCTGAAATGCCGACGCGAAAGCTGCGGTCTGGGCGCGCGGGGCGTTTCTGGGCGGCTGGGGGATTTGTCATTTCTTCTCTGCTGTCTTTAGCTGTGAAAATCAAGAAGCCGATCAAGACCAAGTTCCGCATGCCGGTGTTCAACTGGGTCGCCCTCAAACCCAACCAGATCAACGGGACGGTCTTCAACGAAATAGATGACGAGAGGATCCTGGAGGTACGAGTGCTGCTCGGTGCCCTCTGCCTCCCGCTTCTGTCCCTGACACGGCGGTGTTTGCAGGGGTAGATGGCAGCAGTCATTGGGCAAAGAGCTCATCCAGCGGCCCATGGCACCCAGCAGGTCAGCATGAGTGCCGTGGGTGAGAATTAGGGATCATAGACTCACAGAATGGTCAGGGGTTGGCAGAGGGCTGTGGGTCACCCAGCCCAACCCCCTGCCCAAGCAGGGTCACCCAGAGCAGTCTGCACAGCACCGCGTCCAGGCGGGGCTGGAATATCTCCAGAGAAGGAGACTCCACAGCCTCCCTGGGCAGCCTGGGCCAGGGCTCCGGCACCCTCAGAGGGAAGAAGTTCTTCCTCGGGTTCAGCTGGGGCTGGAATATCTCCAGAGAAGGAGACTCCACAGCCTCCCGGGCTTCAGTGTTTGCTGCGGGAGGGATAAATCCTTTTTTTTTCCTGTTCAGGATTTAAATGTGGACGAATTTGAAGAAATCTTCAAAACAAAAGCCCAAGGTCCAGCCATTGATCTTACTTCAAGCAAGCAGAAGATAACTCAGAAAGGGTCCAACAAAGTCACGTTACTGGATGCCAACAGGGCCAAAAATCTCGCCATTACTTTGAGGAAGGCTGGAAAGACGGCAGATGAAATATGCAGAGCTATTCACGTGTAAGTAAAACGCTTGTCAGCAACGAAACCGTGTTGCAGATTTACTGTGAGTTTTGGTAAGTGGAATGGCTTTGAATTGGCAGTTCATGTAAATGTCTTTCCATCTGGAAAAAATCCAGGAGTAAGGATGGAACCGTTCTGAATTCCCAGAAATCAGATTGCCGTGAAGTAGAATAACAAACTCGCAGTTTTATGTCGCTGTGTCACCGTTCAGACTTCACAAATTAGCACTTCTTTTTATTAAAGAGGCTAATTCATGCCTGTCCCCAGGAGGCCATTGCAGGCTGCATCTCTCGTTCTGTTTGCCCAGTGCTTTCTGTGCTTTAATGAACCCTCAAACCCCAGGGTATCAGGAGGGGGCCGCGATTTTCGCTTGCTCCATGAAGCACGAGTTGGGTCCCAGTGCACTGGAAGGGTTTGGCGTAGAGCTGGGTTGGCAGGGACCCTCGCTGGCCAACGCCAGCGGCTCCGGGGGTCTGTGCCTGCTCCTTGGGGCTGATCCTCGTGGCCATGCCGGACGTCGGCCGTTTCTCCGCAAAGGGACATCTGCTGAATTTGGAGGCCTGAGAGTGTCGTTGGGCCGGTGAGGAGGGTGAGCTGAACCTGCTGCAGACCGAGGCACCTTCAGCAGATGGGGTTTGCAGGGCTCTGCTGTTTGCTCCTGCCCACGTGTCTTCTCTGATGATAGCGAGGTGTGACCGTGGAGGGGTGGGGGGCAAGGACCGCGTCTTTGGAGACAGGAACAAGGTGCCCAGCAGCGCCGTTCACACCTTCACGTGCAGAGAGCTTCACGTGCAGGACCGTGCCCCCCACCCCAGCCAGGGCTGCACGAGCAGGAGCAGCTTCACGGCTTCTCCACGGTTTCCAGCTTTTCTGGCTCAGGCTCTGGTGGAGCTGAGCAGCGGCGGAGGCTGCTCTCTCTCTCATTTCTGCTGCTTTTCCCTCATTTTGTGCAGAGTCCTGTAACACGGCTTCTTCTGGTCTGCTGTCACGCAGGTTTGACCTGAAAACGTTGCCGGTGGATTTCGTCGAATGCCTGATGCGGTTCCTGCCCACCGAGAACGAAGTGAAGGTGCTGCGGCTCTACGAGCGGGAAAGGAAACCCATCGAGAACCTGTCCGACGAAGACCGGTTCATGATGCAGTTCAGCAAGATCGAGAGGCTGATGCAGAAGATGACCATCATGGCTTTTATAGGCAACTTCGCAGAGAGCATCCAGATGCTGACGCCGGTGAGTGAGGGCCGAACCCCTGGGGACAGAGGGGCGACGCGTGGGGGTCCGGGCTGCTCGGGGTTCTGTCTGCGGGGAGCCGGTGAAGCTTACAGAGATTTTAATTTTTCTAAGACAGGGAGATAGTTTGAGTGTCGTGGGGTGATTGTGAGTTCTCACTGGGACAGAATGAGAAACACATGAATGGAAAAATGATTTTCTAGCTATATTTTCATAGACCGGTGACTCCGATGTCCCAGGTGCTCTTTTATGGCAGCTTGTAGCCTGGACTGCTCCGTACCATCCTGTTTCCTTACCTCTAGAATTTTAAAATCAGTTTAAAGGAAAATCTAGCTGTTTGTGTCATCGGGGAGAGTTATTATCAGCGCTGCTCCGTGAATCACTGGAATTCCTGACGTGTCAGGGCAGGGTGATGTTCGTGCTGGGCCCCACAGTATGGATGAAAAACAAGGTTTTTTTTCAGAATGTGAGTGTTCAGGGTTTAATTGTACTCTTGGGTTGGATGTGCATTAACCAAAGCTGTTCCTGTGTTCACCTGCAGCAACTTCACGCAATAATAGCTGCGTCGGTCTCAATAAAGTCATCCCAAAAGCTGAAGAAGATACTGGAGGTAGGTCTGGGTGTAGATACGTTCAGTAGCTCCCTCACTCACCCTTGCACATACCAAAACCCTGCCTGGGTGCTGACCCACCAGCGCTCCTTCCAGAGGTTTCTAAAGCGCCGTGCGTTTGTCCTGAGAGCTCACGCTCCGCTCTGTTCCGTCCTGGCAGATAATCCTGGCGCTGGGAAACTACATGAACAGCAGTAAGCGCGGAGCCGTGTACGGATTTAAGCTCCAGAGCTTGGACCTGGTAAGGAGACGAGAGGAGCCTTGTGGGGACGGGGTGGGGGTGAGTTTCGCGGACACGGGACGTGGAGTGGCTGCTGGGGGGCTCGGTGGGTGCCGCCCAGGCGGTGAAATCAGAGCAGGGCAGTGGGGAAGGCGTCCGTGCCAGGCGGTGGGAGATGGCTTTGCTGAGCGTTGTGCCGGGGGGCCGCCTGTCAGGTGGAGAAGCACCGGTGGGGTCACTTTGCTTGGAGCCTGCTGCACCTCCACCCAGCGAGCTCTTTGCCTTCTCTCCCCAGCTCCTAGAAACAAAGTCGACAGACCGAAAGCAGACCCTGCTGCACTACATTTCCAACGTGGTCAAGGAGAAGTACCAGCACGTATCCCTCTTCTACAACGAGCTGCATTACGTGGAGAAGGCTGCTGCAGGTACTGTGACCCTCCTGTCCCTGGTGAGCAGTGGTGGCACGCACGCCGTGACCATGAGCCAGCAGCGTGCCCTGGCTGCCAAGAAGGGCAACGGGATCTTGGGGTGCATGAGGAGGAGTGTGGGCAGCAGGGCGAGGGAGGTTCTCCTTCCCCTCTGCTCTGCCCTGGGGAGGCCCC